GTACAGGATAGTGGTTAATTTTGGGGCGGAGACGTGGTGGAGGAACTAAGTACGAGGACTGGAGTTACGCTATGAGATGATGCAGGGGGAATCCAGTATGTACTGCACCACAGCTCAAAGTACGTAACACTTTGGGGATCATGGCTATGGAGGGGCCCAATACAAACAAGATCAAGCTTGCCCTTTAAGGAAAGACTGGCACTCTGGGATCAACGCCAGAAGCTTTTATTGCAGCATGTAGGCATTCAATTTGCAAGTTTGGCCCCTGCAGCAGAGTGAGGAGCCAGCTTTCTTTCTAGTTACCACCTTCCTTGCAGGCTACTGTCAGAGGAGCTAAATGTTCCGGGGGTCCAGGATTTTGCCAATAAAGAATAGGGTTCCTGTGGCGTCATCTCGCAGCACAAGTAGGAAGGGTTTGTTCAGATGGTAGTCGAGGGGGAAGGTCAGGCGAGCAGCATTCACTCCAGGGTTTGGCGTAGAATTTGCACCATCTTCACTCAGTTCCAGAACCGTCTTGTGATGCACGTGAGAGAGCTTAATGGGTTTAGCAGACATCTTGCTAAAGTCAGGTGATATAAAGAGCTGCTGCAGCCCTGTAAGGAAGGAGAGAAGGGTCCATTAGCTGAAAGACTGCACTTTGTGGGAGAGGAGGTACAGTGCTTCAGTAAGGGGAAGATAGGGCCCCAGGTGGAGCTTTTGGAGGGAAAGGGAAATAGAAATGGTCCTTGCCTAGCTGAGAGGCAAGGGCCCCATGCACTTATTCAAGAAGTTGTATAAAGGCAGAAGAGGGAAGGAACTATTGGAAGGGGGAGGCTCTGTGCATGCAGGAGCTCAAAAGTGCTGGTGCAGTCTGTGTCCACAGCAACAGGCCTAACTGGTAACCAGTTGCTCCTTGTTCTCACTGAGCAGAAGCAGAGCTGCCCACTGCTCTGAGCCCCCGTTGCCTCCAGAGGGCAATGTTGTGTACGTACTCATTTCCTGCAGCGTGCTTCCCAGTGATTCCTCAAAGCTCAGCTTCAGCTTGGGCACACTTAGCACAGCATGGACAGCCTTCAGCTCCTTGTCTATGTCATGGACAAATTCAGACGAGAGGCTTTCCTCAATCAGGGTGAGGTTCTGGGTCACCTTCAGTGGCAGGAAGAACATGGCACTAACACCCCCTGTCAGTGGCAGCTGAGCAATCTGGAAGGGCAGTTATAAAAGGCTCGGAGTTATGTCTGTGCTTGGCAATAGAACTTCCCCAGTGCCAAGCTGCAAGCTCTGTACCTTATCTGGCTGCTCAGCTACTCCACACACATCTGCCTCCTGCCCTGCTTACCTGTTGCATAATAGGGTCCAACTCCATGCTCTGCAGTTCAAGGTTTTGCCTCCACCCTGAATCTCTGTCTGCATGCCCTGAGAGGGGACAGTGCTATTCCATAGTAAGTGAGGGGCTGTCTGCTGGAAGCCCTTCTCTTGAGTACCATGTATGGCATAGCATGAGGACAGTGGATGATTTTCCACTTTCTGGAAGCAGTACTAAGTCTAGAAGCCTTGTGAGGAGCCAGCCAGCCCTACCCTGCCCTCCTTATGTAGTCTGTGTACAGCTGGGCTGCTTATCACGTGGTCACTGCAGATGGGGAGCTCTCGGAACAAATGAAAGGCTGCTTGCTCTAGTTTAAAACCAGGGTCACAAGCATAGCAGTTATGGAGAGTCTGGTGGGAGGGACAGAGCTCTGACTCTCTAGAAGGGGCTGGGCATTGAGGGAAGATGCATCTTTCCTTAGACTTTCTACCCACATTAGCACTGGAGCTGCTTTCAGTCTTTGTCTGACCTTGCAGTTGAGTTCTGAGTCAAAGCCGTAACGCAGTATGGCCTTGGGGTCTGACATCATGGGCACCTTCACGGTTCTGTCTTCTTCCAGGTAGAAGTCCTGCAGGGTAGTCTTGCTGGGGTCAAATTTAGTTGCCCAGTGCCCTAGTTTTAAAAATAAGCCAGAGAAGTTTGGAAATGAAGTAAATGAACGGGGGGCTATTGCATATGCAGCTAATAGGAATGGTTCAGTGCTTCATGCATTAAAGGACTCCTGCTTCCAAGCCTCTGCTTTAAAAACTGGAGCGTGATGGAGGCTATCAATAGCCAGTTCCAGTCACAGGCTGTCTCAGCTTTGGCTTGTTGCGGCCAATTGTTCCCTTCCCTTCCATCTGAGCTTTGGCCAGATTGAAAGCAAGAAATCAGCCAACATGGGTGGAGGGGCAGCTGGGGTGAGCAGATGTTTGACTTGCGTAATTACAAAACTATTTTAAGTAGTATCAATTATTCATGCACAGGGAGAGTGTCTCTCCACACCCTTCATGTGTTGCTTGTTGTCTTGGACTGTAAGTTGGAACAAGGACTGCCTACCTCTCCTAGGGAGTTGCTCAGTTCAGCTTGGAACTGAACAAGGCCTCTGGACTCTGATTTTGTGAGCTACAAATCTGATTCCTTATCTGTACCATGCCAGGCAAAATTTTTACAGCTGTCACCTCCCTGTCTGACCTTTCTTAGCTTTCTTTAGGTGAGAAGTTTGATTTAGTTAGTCTACAAGGTGCAAATCTGCCCTGCCTTTTGCATGACTTCAGACCTACACAGCTGACTACCTCTCTTTATCTGCAGCAGCTATGCTGACAAGCTTTCATTTTCCTCCTTTTCTGGTTCCTTGTAAGTGGGTCAGACTATTTCCTGAGAACAGGAATGCCTTCCCTGAAAAATCTCTTCCTGTGTTCATCCAGCATGTGTCACTTCTGCTTTGTGGAATTGTGTTCTGAGACATTTTCTGTTGCTCTGTCTTTCTGGCTATTTGGTGTGCTGTCCAGCATGAGACCCTTCCCTCTACTGGCATGCACTAAAGAGACCCTTTAATGCCATGCAGTAAGATCTTGCCTTTGAAATAAGCTGCTCCAGCAAGGAAGATGCTGACGTCTGTGGGCATGTCCTTCAGGAACCTTAAAATCTTCCCTTTGGTCTGCTGCCTTACCCAGTTGTTGAGCTCTTGGAGGTCTGCCTGGGAGTTGCCAGTCAGGATCTTGAGTCGTATTCTGTAGGCCTTCTCCAGCTGGCTTGGGAACCCAACCTTCATCCGTAGCTCTGAGGGGCAGAATAATTATTACAGCAGCTCCTTCCTCTATCAGAGAGTAGCCCATTGGCAATAGGGTGCAGCAGGCATCCCTCTTGAAATGAGTGCAGATCTGTGAGCCCTGGTCTGTGTGCTTTTTTGCCACAAATGTACAAGCATTTGCAGAGCTGGACTGAGGCTGCGTGAGAGAGATCCACTCCTTTCAGCCATGTCCTGTGGTGCTGTGCGGCAAAGCCCTCAACTGACTAGTAAAGATGTGGGATAGGAACAGAAAGCCTACCACACAGCAGTATCTATCTTTAGCCCTCCCCACAGGCTTAAGTGTACTAAGAAGCTCAGATCCTTGGAACTGCCAAACTCCTCATAGGGCCTCCTCATAGGCAGGCCCTATGAGGAGAGACTACGGGACCTGAACCTGTTCAGCCTCCACAAGAGAAGGCTGAGGGGGGATCTTGTGGCCTGTTACAAACTGGTCAGGGGGGATCAGAAGGCATTGGGGGAGTCACTGTTCCCCCGAGCACAGCCAGGAGTGACCAGGAACAACGGTCACAAGCTAGCAGAGGGTAGATTTAGGTTAGACATCAGAAGGCGCTATTTCACGGTCAGGGCGGCTAGGGTCTGGAACCAACTTCCAAGGGAGGTGGTGCAGGCTCCTACCCTGGGGGTTTTTAAGAAGAGGTTAGATGAACACCTTGCTGGGGTCGTTTAACCCCAGTACTCTTTCCTGCCATGGCAGGGGGTCGGACTAGATGATCTTCTCAGGTCCCTTCCGACCCTAGAAACTATAATTGGGGGCAGAGGGGTTAGTGCAATCTTCAAAATGGCATTTCAGCTGGCTGCATAACTCCTATGTGACTGACCAGTCCTTAGTCAAGAGGACCATTAGCCTAAAACAAGGGGTATAATTGCATTGTCTGGGCAAAAATAGTTCTTGGGATAGGTAGGAGCATCTGCTGTGAGCTGAAGCGACCCAGTGGAATTGCCACAGCAAGTTCTTCCCAGGAGCTTTGGGCTGCATCTCCCAGATAACCCGGTGTTAATGCATGCTTTCCAAAAACAGATCTAGGGAGTCGTCCTGCAGTTGGAAGGTATAGTGCAGTGTGATTACTGGGCAGAAGCAACCATCGGTATTGTGCTCAGCTCCATGGCATAGCCAGTGTCATCAGCGCTTGCTAACATTACCTTGACACTGTTCATCTGCCGGTTGCTTAGAGACACAGGCAAGGTTAAATCTGGCAGGCAAATTTACAGAAAGGTGAAGAGGGGATTTTACTTCTCTCCAGGATAATGCGGAAGACACTTCTGAAGCCTTTCTCTGGAGCAGAGATGCTTGTCAGCAGTTCCTTGTAGGTGTTGTGGACTTCAGCCTTGTTAAGCAGGTCATAGTAGAGAGTGCGAGAAATCAGGTCTTCTGTCCGCTGCCCAGCACCTACCGATGACAGGCAAAACAGCATGAGGCCCGTCCAGTTGAACAGCATGTAAAAGGAGGAGCGGCACCAGGATCAGGAACTTACCGAGGGAGAGACCAGAAAGTGCTGTAGCCACGCTGAATGGGGACAGTAGTACATTGGCAGTAGCGGTTTTGCCAGATTGCTGGCGATACAAGTCATAACCAAAGTTGGAGACTGCAGCTGCCAGTTTGTTCACTGGGGTCTTGTAG